CTAAGAAAATACACTTTTTCCTTGGACTTTGAGAATAATGAATTGCATTCTGCCTCTGAGGACATAACTCTATTTGGAATTAATTATGAAGGAGTTAAATCTGTTCACCAAATCATAGCTCAAGATGATATCACAGTACCATAAAGAACAGAATTTTTACTTCCTGGATGCAGAGCTGAAAACAGAAATTTTCGATATGGCGTCATGGAATATATCAAGAACTGTAACAGCAAGAAATGAGTACTAGTAGCCTCAGCACTTATTGACCTATCAAGGACTGTTATCCAAACGAGAGTTTGCCAAATGTGACTAATAAGGCAAAAGTGATTAGAAAAGGAGAAGTGGTTGCAGTATTTACTCTAGTAAGCTGCATTAAATGAAACAGTAATCCTCAAGAATCCATGTCTTCAGAGAGTCTTAACATTAGATTTATGGCAGAGTGCACAACAAAGCAATGAAGAGAAGAGTACTGCTGAACATATCATTCAAAAATTCAAGACATTATCTCGCGCTTGTCCTCTGATATAGGTCAAACCAGTTTGATCAAACATAGACTTGATACCAGGGATCATCTACTAATCAAGCAACATCCAAGATGTCTACTGATTACTAAACAGGAAGAGGTAAGAAAACTTCTTAAAGATATGCAGGAAAATGACATTATTGAGCCTTCGTCAAATCCTGGGCTTCTCCTATCATCTAGGTCAGAAAGAAGGATGGTTCTGCTAGATTTTGTGTCGCCTATCGCTAGCTGAATGGCATCATGAAAAAAAGAACAGCTACCCTCTCTCTAGAATTGATGACATTCTCGACATAGTTTCGGCAACCTAGTTATTTTCAATGTTTGATTTAAGGAGTGTGTATTGGCAGGTAGAGATACACCCAGATGACTGAGAAAAGACAGCATTTACTACCAAACAAGAACTTTTGCAGTTCAAGGTGATGGCGTTTGGATTATGTAGTGCGGCAGCCACTTTCAAGGACCTCATAGAGACCATGTGGAGAGGTCTTTCCTGCAAAGCTTGTCAGATATACGTAGATCTATAACCTCCACTACTATACATCTTCTGATATATGTGACTATATACGTATTTCATCATCAGGAATGTTGGCAATGGAGTTCTAGCAAAAGCATGCCTTTGCCTTGCTTAAATAAAAACCAGGATTAATCTAAAGTAAAACTAATATTTATTTCATAACTTCAATTAAAACAACTGGGCTGCAACAGCAGGCTTTACATTAAAATCAAGCACAAAAGAAAAACCAGCAAAATCTCATTGCTTTCACAATTCCAGTGTATAAAATCACAACATCAACCAATCCACTGATACTATGTCATTGGCCACTCAGCGGCAACCATGTTAGTTTTTCACCGATTGACCTCTGATCTAATTTCCCTCATGAAAAAAATAAATAAATAAATAAATCCTATTGACAGGAGGTTTTACAAGACAGAGTACATCATATTGTTTCATGTAATCTAACCTATCTCAATTATTAAAATATATCCATATCTTTCCATTTGAACCTAATAGATGGGCACCTGCCTTTTCTGCTTTCATCAGTTTTTGTCTAGCAACAGCATCTTGATATTGACTTTCCATCAGTCTTAGTTGTCATTGTGTAACAGTTCAGTAGTAATGACATCTTTAGTTACGCATGAGCAGCACCACTTGAACCAACTTCTAAAACATGCCAGCTCCTTTTTCATAGATAATAGCCCTCTTCCTTTACATTCCTTCTATTCTTAGTTGAACTGGACCCAAAACCTGTTGCGTTGGAGTTGTCCCAAAAGTATACTTTACATTGCTTAAATAAAAAAAACTGGGACTAGTAAAAAAAATATATCTAAAATAATAATATATTTTCATAACTCAAATTGAAACAACTAGGTTGCTACAGTAGCTTTTACATTAATAAAAACAAAGAGAAAAGAAAAACCAGCGAAATCTCATTGCGTTCAGCATTCGGACGTATAAATACTCAACATCCACCAATACTACATCACCGGCAACCATGTTAGTTTATCACTGTTTGACCTCTGATCTAGTTTGCATGAGGAAAAACAAAAAAAACAGAACGTTAAGTCAACAGGAAGAGTTTTGAGAAACAGAGAAAATAAAGGTGCTTCACAAATGGAAGGAAGCCATTCTAAATTTAAGTTATGGCAAATGTAAATTGTTCAGACAGAAAGCGACTTATCTCGGACATGTCATCTCTGTCGAAGATGTGTGTACGGATCCAGGAAAAGTGCCAGCAGTTAAAGATTTGGACATCCCAAAAATGTATTTATCAGCTGAGAAATTTCCTAGAGCCTTGCACCTGCTGTAGGAGGTTTGTGAAATCTGTTTTTCTGTTTCATCATGAGATCCCTTCACAAAGAGCAAGCAAAAGTTTTTTGTACAAAAGAATCGGAGGATGCATTTAACAAACTAAAGGAAGCTTTAACATCTGCAAGAATCCTGACATATCCTCAGCTAAACAAACCATTTTTTCTTGACACAGATTTTGAGCATTTAGGGTGTCAGTACTGTTTTGTCCCAAGAAACAAACAGTCGAAAATGTGTTGGTTCTTTTGAAGGGGGCGATTTAATGAATTTTGTGTATGTGTAAATGTAGTGAAATTGTATGTAGGAATTTTGTATATATGTAAATAATTTTAGTGAAATTGATGTAAAATTGTAGTAGCTCTTGTATAATGTAACATGAAAGGTCTAAAAAACATGAAGTTCTGCTGGAAAAGTAAGGTTACAGAGCAAGCTCATTTAACAAAGGTAAATTGGCAAAATATCGCAGAGCCCACTGTGGTGGACTGTAGCTATGAAATAATGAAACTGATTTCTTTTGAAATTCATGTTTTATTTATTCAACCGCTCAATTAGCAGCCATTCAAAAGAAAAACGAACATCAATGTACTCTAATATCAAGAAAGAAAACTATGTGTGTGTTACAGGATTGTTGCTAGGCAACGATAGTGAAGGAGAAAGTTTTTGCTTGTCAGACTGTCAGGAGCCAACACTTGCAATGGTTTTGGTGACTAATTTTTTTTCCAAATTTGGCAACTATTTGGGGACCTTTTGGTACAATCCCTGTATAACTATAATTGGTCTGATTTCTGTATGTAACTGTATCCAGCCCTATAACTGCAACTGTATATGCCTTCCAGCAAGTTCGAGAAACTTAAGGTACTTCATATTTCTCAGCAGTCAGGGTAAACCTATGTAAGACCAGAGAGAGCATCAGTTCTAAATATAGTTCAGAGTTTGGCATATTGAAAAATCTGCATGTGAGCTTTGCTGTTCAGGTGGTGTTTGCACTGCATTCTGTTTTACATTCTGTGTAGTTTTAAGTGTAACTACTGATTGCACTCTATCCTACTGAGAAAAGCTGCACAAGTACTTTTGTGAAAAATTCAAGAATTTTAAAAGTGTTTCTTTCGAAAAAATAAAATTTATCAAACTATCATCGGTTCTGTGTGAAATCTATCTATTACAAACACATGAGCATGTAACATTATTTGAAAAAAAAATGCCCTAATGAGCCGTGCTAAAAAAAGATACCCTTCAAAATCAAATATTTGATAAGACTTTGTGCCAATAAATATTTCATTCATTTCAAAGTGTTTTGCATGCAAACAGAAAAGTACTGCTTAAGTTATTTCTAAAAATACATCTAATCCATAAAGTAATAATATGAAAAAGGAAAAAAATGTATTTGTCAATTAATTTCCTTTGAAAATTTTATATTTTGCAATTACATTAATTTACTCGTAATATTTTGCTGTGTTATAATATTTAACATAAACATATTACAGTTTCATCTTCATAATGAGATTTACTTAAAATTTCAATAGAAACTTCTTTTCATCATCATTCATAGATTAACATTCTAGTGCTTGTTATATTTTTAATGCAAGTGTGAAGCATGAAAAGCCAACTGTACTCTCATAAAGATTTGAACCTTAGATTTTCGGCTGCTAACTGGACATGCTGCCAATTACTCCTATACAGCATGCATGGGGGAAGGTGATATTTCATTAAATTCTTTCTCTATTTAAAGAGCAACTTGTAAGAGGATGAGATTTAGTTTACCAAATCCAACTGGGGATCAATTATTGTCCATCACATTTTAGCTCATATTCCAGCCAGGAAATGTGAAAAATCAACTATGCTCATGAAGATTTGAATTATGGATCTTTCAATTGTTGGTACTAGTTGTACCATGAGAGGAAGCACTGAGGGAGAATGCAATAATTCCTTATAACATGAAGTTATACATTATTATTAATTATTTCATATTTTTGAATTTTATACTGATGTTCTGTATTTCATCCAGATGTCATAAGCGTTATATTTAACAAAATTTTTAGTATAATTAAAGTAAAAAAATTCTGTTATTGCAAAATTTTTTATATCTAAATATATAGAATTTTTTTTTTTTTTTTTTTTTTTTTTTTCAATACTAGATTTCTGTTTTTCTTAACAGAAAGGGATTTGAAGGGAGCGGAACAGTTTTGAGTAGCACTTTTTGTCTAACTTAACAAGTTCTTTGTTTTAAAGTTTTTCTCACAGCATCTGTGAATAATTGTATTGAGCCACTCTCTGATAAGCAGTGAAACATAATGAAACTTAAGGAAATTTCACAAATCATTATTTTTCCTGAAATATATAGACAGAGATAACTTTTAAGAATTGGAAACCATTGATTTGGTGAATTACTAATTCAGTGTTGTTTTTCTTCTTTGTTTTCTTAAGGTTTTAGCTAAGCAAAGTTTAACTCATTGAGATATTACTACTCTATTTTAAATTGAAATGTAAGATTATTGTTGTTATAGGTAAACTAAAACTATATAAATTCTTCAGTGTTAAAATTCAAGGTAATAATTTCCTTTTATAGCCAAATTGTTTCCCTGTCATTGTTGTGATTAAGCTTCCTTCCCCCCCCCCAAGATTACTGGGAGTATATTTTAATAATATTTTTTATTCTGATATTTTTTTTAGCAAGAATCTGCTTTGTGATCCATTACTCATTGGAAAATGTGGACATACTCTATGCAAGTAAAGAAAGTTTAATTTCATACACTATATTAAATGTTTAGTGATTTATTTTTAATAAAAAATAATCTACTAATTTTCTAATAAATTTACATTTTGTCAGTTTTAACAGCTACTTAGTGGTAAATATTTTTTCATCTCTGAATTTTTAATAAAATTTATCTGAGAAAAATCTAACAAATATATATTTATACAAACTGATTCTGCAGAGAAAGGGAAACTATGAAGGGGATTCATCAGAAAGCAGAGAAAGGGATTCATCAGTTATGAGAGATCCAGTGTTTATTTATTAATTTTGCATCTGAAAGTACTAAGTGCAATAAATAAATTATTCCGCAGTTTGCAAATGATTTGAAATATATAGGTGAGAGGTATGAAGTGCCCTTATTGTAGAAAAGGAGATTAATAATAACATACTTGTATTGTTCCAGTGCAACTTATGGGTTTTTCAATGTGCTGTTAAGTTTGCACAGGAAAGAAATGAATGTTGCCTTTCGAAATGTTTTTACTGTAACTGTAACTGTAACTGTGTGTTTCAAAAGAAGGAAATAATAAAGTAGACTCTAATTACAAATATTTCCTGCATGCCTGGAACTGAGGCATATGTCAAACTCTAAAAAGAAGATTCCAAATCTTTCATTTAAATTCAATTTCATTAATGTTTACATATGTAACTAAAACGAAAGCTACAACTCAAAACAAATTCCTGGAATACAAATAATATTGCCACACAAAAAAAAACTAATCATTAAAAGTCTTTAGAATTAATTTTCGTTTTCAAGAGTGACATCATATTCTATAGAGCTTGTAATAATTTTTCCTTACATCCTCCCACCTTGCAATGAGAAATAAGGAATTGAATATTACAATCATAATCATAAGTCAAATCTCTGGGTTTTCTTGATAGTCTCTCCATATCTTGTAATACAAGATATTCCGTCACTTGAAATGGGTATGCTCTGTTGAGGTGCTTTTACTGCGGATTGCCTTTCTTTTAGCCCTAAATATCAAAAGTCCTGCAAAATCAATGCCAGTAATCTGGAACATAGAGGCATTTTTAACTCAATCAGTGGGCAATGGTGGGGCTGGAGGATTAACCCTTTTGCTGGAATATCTTTTACAAATAATGCAAGATCTCAAGATGGATGAAACAATTCTTCATCTGGATAGTAACCAGAATCTTGCTCGTAGAGAATTTAAGATGTGAGAAACTCCAACGTGTTCTTTAATTTGATGTTCTTCCATTACTGTGCTTTTTATAAGAGGGTAGTCACTGGGTAGAATGGCAGGATCTCTGACTTATACTCTGAATGGCAGGAACTCTGACTTATAATCTCTTTGACATACTGCTATTTTTGTTCTAATGATTCCTTGATCTAGAAATAGATTTAGTGACACTAAACGCTTATCTTCAACTCCAGCAAAGGATTCAGTTTGTATCAAATGAATAAGCATTTTCTCAGCTACATTAAACTCAGGAACGGTAAGTTCACCTTTCCGTTTCTTCCCATACTTGCAGTTGTGAATGAATCCAAACCATCATTCTAATAGTCTGGTGATAAGTTAAGAACCGAAGAGTAGTTATTAGACCAACGGTATTTGTGTTAATCAAAGATGATATAATTTTCTTTTTCTTCTCCTTGGCTACTTCTTCTTCGTTAACAATGAAGTCGTTGCTTGGCCAGTTTTCTTGCGGAGAATATAACCATTCTGGTCCTTCCCACCAATGAGGCGTGGCTAAATATCGGGCAGAACCTCCTCCACTGGGCAAATCAGCAGAGTTTATTGTTCGTGGGATGTGCCCCCAGGCATTCCTTGGAGTAAGTTGTCTTATTTCCATAACTCTGTTGTGAACAAACACATTCCATGCTACATCTCTTTGTATCCAGGCAGGTACGGTTGAAGAATCAGTCCAAAAACAAATGTTTTGTACTTTAAATTCTTTGGAAATGGGTGAAGCTAAATGAGCACAAATAGTAGTGCCCAGGAGTTCTAATCAGGCAATAGAAATCTCTTTCTCCCCATTGGGAGCAACTTTTGTTTTAGCTTGCAGCAAATTAACTTTCACGAAGTCTCCATTTTCATCATGAATGAAAGCTGCAGTTGAATATACCAATTTACTAGCATCACAAAAGAAATGAAGTGTTATTATTTCAAATTCGCAGTGCCTAGGTACTTTCAAACCTTTTAAGTAATTCAAATCATTCATCCACTTATAAAATTCTGACTTGGTTGCAGAATCAACTTCTTGATTCCAAGGCAATGTAGATTTCTACTGACTCTGAAGCAAGGTAATAGGAGATAATATTCCCAGAGGATCAAATACTTTATGAGCATTTGCTAAAATTATCCTTTTAGTTACCTTTTCATGTAATTCATTAATAATATTCAAGCTTAGTATATCGCTATTACGTTCCCATTGCATTCCTAACACAGTAATGTTTGAGGAATTCAATGGTGTATCAGTGTATTCCCATCCACATAATTTGAATTTCCTTTCAGCTAAAATGTCTGTAGCAATCTGTATGAAGTATTGTAACTCTTGATCATTTTTGACGCTGCTTATACAGGTATTGACATAAAAACTGTTCTTCAACTTTTCAACCATTTCTGCTGAATATTTTAATTTTCCTTAGAGAGCATCTTTCAAAATGGAATCTAAATGATATTGAATAACTGAACCGAGTAAATAAATAACTACTGGAGACGTCAAACACAAGTCTACAGTCTCTCTAATATTTAAGTTGGCCATTGGCTTGATACCATAAGAATCTCAAAAAATCTTTGTCTTTATGATTAAGGCTGGTTTGCAAAAAAGCTTTTCATGTGTCAGATACATCTCTTATTCATTTCATCCGGAATTGATGAAGAACGGAAGGAATGAGTTCAATAAGATTCAACCCAATTTAAGGCGGTTATTTAGACTAGTTGTTCCTTTCTGTTTTGCTGAAGTGTCAAATACTGGTCTAATCTTTGTTGTACATTTTTCTTTGACTACGTGATGATGAGACACAAGTAATGACAAGGTAACTCAATTTCATTTTTCAGTACAGATTCTATTATTCTTTCTCGTTCTCACTCACAAAAAACTTCCCCATATTCTGCATAAAGATTATCAGTTTTCAATCATTTAACAGCTGAATCTAATCTTTTAATAGCCAAATTAAAATTCTCTGGCAAGTGCGGATGATCTCTAAGTCACGATAAGCATACTTGAAAATGACCTTCTTAATTTATTCTAACTGTAGATAAGAAATGTTTCCTTGCTTCTTCTTGAAGTTCTAATTTATTTTTATTTTCTAAATGTTCTAAAATTCCTAGTGTGTCAAGAGCTCATCAATCAAATACCAATGTATCTTTATTGAGCATTGAAGTGACAAGATAAGTAGAATTATTTGAAATTTCAGACATTGAGTTTTTACCTATAACTGTCCATCCTAATTTGGTCACAATAGCCGCAAGACCTGAGGAAAGTAGTATAAAGCCCCCAGGCATCAATTTTCTGCAAATATCGGCTCCATTTAATATCTCTATCAGTCCATCACTTTGATCATTCAGATAAATATTATTTTCCCTAAGTTTGTTTATCAAAACACCATGTCCTACCATTTGTGGTGTAAGATTTATGTTAATTTTCCTAATAGTTATTTTTTCAGTGAAAATTTACTTTCCTATCTTCCTGAATTTCAATTTACAGCTTCTGGCCAGAACCTATTTTCAGAATCGTGTTTAAATGCAAATGAGGAGAAGTACTGAGCCAGTGATTCTGACTACCACGCATTCGCCTTTTTAGGCTACTCTCTCTCTTAAGCTATTATTATGCTCGGCTGTACTTTAAGCGCTTGATAGCTTCACCATTATTTAGCATTAAGAGGCAAACTCTGTTAGAATTCTTAATAGCTTCAGCTATATCTTTTTAGTTAAGATTAGTTTAGTTCTTAGTTTTCTGAGTTCAAGCCCGAGTAAAGGCTTTATTGTAAGTCCAAGAACAGAGTCATCTGTTAAACTTTATTTTGAATAATAAAGGGTAATTTAACCCTTCTCACATTTTCTTCTCTGTCTCACGAACTCAAGCGATTATTCGCTTATCAGTTCTTAAGGTTCCTCAACTTTAGCTATAGACTAAAACACTTAGGAATTTTACTGTGGTAATAATAAAATACTTTATGGGTTTTCAATGTGCTGATCGGTTTGCACAGGAAAGAAGTTAATGTTGCCTTTTGAAATGTTTTTACTGTAACCGTAACTGTGTGTTTCAAAAGAAGGAAATATATAATAGACTCTAATTACAAATATTAATATAGAAGACTCTAATTGCCCACCAGCGGCCAAGCGGTAAAGACGCTGAACACTGGTAGTTCGGTCCGAGGTTCGAATCCCACGAACAGGCTAGCTGCATGGGCGTTTTCGTGGTTTTCCTCATGTGTAACGTGTATACGAGCCAGTTTCCCTTAGAAAGTCCTCCACGAAAGGCATTCCTCCCTTTAGGCAGATAGCCCTCGTGTGCTTTGCCATAACTGAATAATCCAATCCAATCCAAGAAGACTCTAATTAAGTCCTCAAGAGGTGATTTGTGGTATAGTACCACAAATTACCTCTTGTCCAAGAGCCTTAAAACTGCATAGATAATTACCATCTGTTTTCGATAAAAACATCGTAATCTATAATTTCAGTGGTTGTCCCTCCAAATAACGAATGCTGTAGTTTTCTTTGCATGTGCTCGGAAATTGCAATTCAATAGCGGCATTCTTCAAAGCATAGGATCTATGTGATTCTGAGTCAGTCGTCATGTTTTGGTATCTGTTTATCATCTTCGATATTGCTGCTGGTGCTATTTTTGGGTTTAGACTCTGAATTGACGTTTTTGCACAAGGGTGTGTGGTGCTTTTTCCCACAAACTACACACGAAACTTTTTTCCTACATTTAGCTATTCCATGTCCCCTATCCAAACACAAGAAACAGCTGCTACTGTTTTGTACTACCCCTAATCTTTCTTCTACTG